CACACACACACACACACACACACACACACACACACACACACACACACACACACACACAGAGGGTGGCAGCTCCTCTTTTTCAACCAATCTGGGGGAAATAAACCGAAATCATGAACAAATGCTCGTAGTGTCATTCGAACAGTTAGCTCGCCCGTCTGAAAATCACAAAATCTAGTTCTCAAACTTTTATTCTGTTGTGAACTAGGGGTGTAACGATACATCGATCTATATCAATATATTGATTTGAACGGTTCATGGTTCAGTTATATCGAGGCAAAATGAAAATATCGATCTAAATCGTCATCGTATTCTCCATGGTCATTCAAACATATCGATGTAATATCGTATCGTGATAAAGCTGGTGATTTACACCCCTATTGTGACCCATCGTGCCACACCTCCAATAGTGTTGCACGCTTTTTGTCTTGACAGAAACAAAGCCCAGCTGCAGAATTTGAGGCATAAAAAAAATCGAGGCTAAATTTGAATTCATCTTCGATACTTGTTTCCTTGTTTGGGACTCGAGCCTTAACATTTACAGATTAGATCATCTGAGATGGGATTCTGTGGAAATGTTAATAGTCAATATCTTACCTGCCGAGATAAATCTTTAACCTCAGATTAAAAGGCAGCCGATAGAATCGACGAGCTAACAGCTAGTTCAAGCCGAAACCAAGACCTGAGCTGATCGATTCTGTAGCATTTTATTCAAAGTTATTTTATAAACTTTTACATCATTAATTTCACATTATACAGTTGTTTATTTATAATTATGTGGTTATTTTCACTAAGAACAGCAGCAGGCACTAGCAGCCTTGGACATCTTTGGAAAGGGTTATTGTATTTCTGCAGGAACAACTATATAACGCTAACGTAAAAGTTTATAAAATACTGTTTGCTATGATAAATTTAAGATCAGACATTTAAACCAACTTTTGCCTTGGCCCAGCTCAGATTACCTGTTCAGAATTCAACTATTTCTCCAAACAACGTGCCATCTATGACAGGTAAGATATTTTTTATTAAGTATCCCCACTCTCCTCTGCTTTTAAAACAACACAACTTGATCAGGTCTTTGACTTCCATCTGAAAGCAGATCACACAGACCAGCTCCACACCACTGTCTCAAACAAGACACACACACACACACACACACACACACACACACACACACACACACACACACAC